CAACTGTAGGAGTAATAATCCTAAACCAAATTCACCTAACATTTTAAAATTTACTAAGTGTAAATGCTCATAATGTCTTATCCATAAAGCACCCATGCTGCTGAAATGCATGGTTTCTTATGGTTTATGTTTCAAGTCCTTTTTTTTAAACGACATTACAAACTTTGATAAACTTTCATATAGTTATCTCCCTGGTGTTTACTGATGATCCACTTGTTCTCTTTATATGTAGTCTGCAGCAATGAATGAAAAGGACATTGTCTTTAATGATTCTGCCTGTGCAGAACAGAACATGTATTCATAAAGAAATTTCAGAAATTAGGTCTATTGTGAAGTTAATTCAGTTTGTTTATGTAGCAGTAGCACTGTAACATCCTTCATTACCTTTTCCTGGGAAGGGCTATACTTCAACTTAGAAGTATGGGAAAAGGTCATTTCCACCTAATTGATGGAATGATGCTCACTACATTCCCAAAGCATAAAATTAGTATAGTGGAAATATGCAGATTTCTCTCTTCTATGTGCAAACATGTACATACTTGAAGAACTGAATCTAAATGTGAAAATAATTCTAGCGGTTAAAGTTGGGAGCTTCCCAGTATGGGTGACATATCCAGTTAGAATTTTAGTCAGACAACATTAATTCTCCTTTAAACACAATAAGTAGTCAGCCTGGATTAAAAAGAATTTTGTTTTATTTGGACAAAGGCACACAGTTGTTACTGTTAGATTAAACACGTGTCTTTTACCTGCAATAGTAAGAATCTCAACATCATTTTTAATCTGCTATCACAAATAGTATCACAACTAGTCAATGTTCAAAACTAAAATGGATATTTAGTTATTTATAGCTTCATGATGCTTCAACTTTTTAAACACATAAAATGGGTATTTTTTTAAAAATGACTCTGCATTATGATTATGAGACTATTTTTAGAGGAAAATTCAACTATCACAATTTTTCCAGAAAAAAATCACAACTAGCCCTGAACAAGAACAGTTACACCAGAAACCAAGAAATAAAAGCAAAAGGATTAAATTAACAAGGTGACGCACATCTGCTACGGTACAAGGAGATATGGTAGATGGAGATTTGCTACAGTAAGTCAACATACTTGGAAGATCATGAATGCTACTAAAATACATATAAAAGTCCTTTTGTCCTGGATATATTTAAGTAGTCCTAAAGAAATGCTTAATTACAAAAGTAGAAATGCTTCTAGAAATGCTGGTGTCAGTACCTTTTGCAGGTATTGACACCAGAGTGACTGGCGTGGAGATCTGTAGTGCACTTCTGTATCAAATTAAACGACAAGATCCAGAATCCATTTGTTTAATTTTTAACAAAACCTTTAAGTATAATACTTAGCTCCTTGGTCTCAGCAGCTACAGGTACTAGACTTCTTTTTATTGTACTAAGTTATTAAGTCATGGCTTGTAATGGTAGTTTCTCCAACTAAAATAGTTGCTTCTTATTAAAAATGTCAGATGTTTATGATCATTAATACTGATGCAAATGGACCGACTCAACTGACATCTTCATAAAGGATCTGAGCCCAAAAAATACTGACACTCAGTTAATGGTATCCATAGTTGCTATTCATGTATTTGTTTCCCAATAATTACCTTTCCTCTTGGCTACTAATACTGATTTATTTCAATTCAAGGTGGAAATAGCCACAAAGAACTTACAGAAAACCCTAAAATAGCTGGAGTCATCATAACTCCGCTCTCCTAGCAAAATGTTTAAAAAGTAATTTGATCTCCAGTATTCCTTTTGGTCTTTCTTACGGTACCAAGTTTCCAAGCTGTAATGATAGCAGACAAATTGAAAAAAGCTTTGATGTAGGGTGATCAGTTGTTTCCAACATAGTAAAACCCCTATACCTTTTGTAGTGCTTATGCCAATCACAAATCTTTCCACAGCTAATTCTCAGTACAGCTGAATAAAAAAAAAAAATCATTAGGCTACACTTCCTACTTTGGAAATCATTGACTTATTTCTTGTTACCCTCTTTTCTCACTCTATCTCTCAAATTCAGAGCCAATCTAACACAGAAATAATTAATCTCCAAATGTGTAAATACAAATCTGCTAATTAACCAAGAACAATTTTGCTTTAAAGACAAAAACACTCCCTGGCAAATACAGACTGTATTCTTTCAGTTAATACATACATCAAATAACACTGAACTTAAACATGGACATTGAATTAACTAAAAAATGAAAAATGAGCCGTTTTTTAATTTCCTTGTAAAAATCACCAACATTTACATATGGTTGAACAACTTCTTTAGGGAATAAATCCCATAAACATTAGTGCGTATTATCAATGATAAAAATATTTCTGTGCAATTTTAACCTTCGGCTCTGGATGTAGTATATGTTTTCTATACAACAGTATGTGACCATAACAGGAGTATTATTGTGCATTTTCAAAATCGGAATTATGTGCTGTTCGTTATTAAAGTATGTTGAAAAAAAATTGTCTTATTTGCTTTAAACAGAATAGTACTCCCATTGACCAGATTTCCTAGATGACTCAAGTTACCCAGAAACACAGATGCTAGACCTAAGCGGTTTGGTATGAATTTTAAGACATGAAAGTTCAGAAATCTCCACGAGACTTACCCATACAGTTAATATTGCATACTAATGTCTCCACAAAGCCCTAGTAAATTAATTTAGCCAAGGTACATTAATATCCAGATTAATTCAGGAATCATATAGTCTTCCCAAGTGAGGTGGGTTCCCACTTACAGCAGTCTCTGCTTTTAAATCACACAATTGAGAACAATCAAGGTGTTAGAGTAGCAAGGACATGGACTTGGGTTAGAGAATAGCTGGTAAGGTAGCTAATTGAACACCTAATCACCTAGGATAAAAACTTATTCTATGTTTGAGCTTGACTATACTGGTACCCTACTGAAATAAAAAGATAATGGCAAGTAATGACTAGACAATTATTAACATTCTATGTAATACATCATTTTTCCTAGAATCTGCTAAACTTCTCCCAAGAGCCTGATAATGTAAGTGATAACAAATTGTTACTGACATACTTTTTTTCCAAAAAGCCATCTAAATATTCTAAACTGTCAGCAGAAGTGTCATGCTTCAAGATACAATTTGTGGGAATTTTTAAAACCATGAGGAGCTTTACATTTGTATAATAAACAACAGCAATAATGTCCTGAGGTACTTTATCTGTGAGTTCCCAACAGTTCCTTTGTTCACACGTTCTGCCTGAAGCATTACTGGTTTCAAATATTTGGAAACTTCCCTTGCCAGTACCTCTTCAAGGTAGGGTATGAGGAAGTACTTCTGCCAAATATTCCTGTCAGCTGGATGTCCAAGTTAAAAAAAAAAAAAAAAAAAAAAATCTAATTTTGGCATCACTGCTGCTAAGTTTTAGTCAATACACATGCAAACCAAGAAGAGGTAATATGAAGACAAGTAATTCTTCTTTATGTTCTTTGTTGTTACTGTTCTTTGGTTTAAAAGGTACGTGAAATACAGTTTATGAAATATCTCATTTACAACTTCATATTAATATCTGTGTTCTGCATTAACTCCTTTAATGATGCTTCAGTATGTTTGACATCCCATGCTGTAAATCGGTATGTGTATTTCCTACTTAGTACACAGAGAAGGAAATCAGATCTTCTTCCAGAGAAAGTTTCATATTTATTCAGAAGGCATACAACTCAACTGATTTTTTTATTACTTTAAATTTTTAATTTCATGAAACTGATAAATTAAGGGAATTCTTACTGTTTGAATAATATTAAAAGCAATATTCATTCGTGTATATTGTAGTTCAGAGGGCCTATACAAACCCCTCATACCATTTAAACACCTGAGTAAAGGTTTTAAATGGTGTCCCATGGGATCTCATCCACTGTGAACGAAAACATCAAGGCATCCTGGCATATAAGTGTCTTGAAAAATACTTTAAAGCTTTGAAAAGTTCCTCCTCATTAGAATACACAAATGCAAAATAACCTATCCTATATCCAAAACTATCCAAGGCGTAACAATAATACCTGGATTTGAAATTTAAGAAATTCTTAACAGTCATTAAATACACATTATGAAAACAATTGGCAAATCTGCAAAGGTGATCGTTATTATATATTAAAGTTGCTTTTAAGTTTTAAGGTAACAAAAACTATATGCATGCAACTTTCTGACACCAAACTTTGAAACAGTCAAGAAAAAGCCTGGACTCTTTGAAATGTTTTCATTTCTACTGTCCCAACTCAAATGACATATATATTTATTCTTATCAGGAATTAAAAATGTGCTGTATTAAGTTGAAATAACATACATCAGATTTCAGCCTAACAAGAATTTTAAGAAGAGAATTGTTAACTGAGGTCTGTGACTAATATCAAATGAAAATTTCTTCTACTATCATGTTATAGAAGAATCAGTATGCAGTCACAACTGGATTGTAACATCTAAACAGGACTTTTTAACCCCCTTGTTAGTTTAAAATCAAGGATAAAAGGCTTTTTAAAACCATTTCATGTTTCAAAAGGGCATGAATCACCTGTATGCCCCTCTAGTTTTTTATGTACAAATATTTTCACCCAGCTTCAAAAATGAAAACATCAAAAAACTCATATTGGTTATAATCACTACAAATTTTAAGACGACAGCTTTAAGAAGAAGAGTATTGCAAAAGTGTATTTACTAAAATAAGTAAATTTACTAAAAAAAGAGTATTTACTAAAATGAAAGCTCCAGGCTTTGAATTCTCAACACAGCAAACAAACTTACTGTCTGATAGCAAACTTGCATTTCATTGCTAAAGCAAAAGCTTTAAAATAAACTGCAGTGCACAACTTCAATATGATCCTAAGAACTCATTAATGCTGATACCACAGGTGATTTATTGTTTTGGTTATTTTTTGGTGATGGTGTGTTTGTTTTTTGTTTTTTTAATAGAGCCTCCCCCTCCTGCCAGAATACTGTTATACAGAAGAAAAAAACTGCTACTGTCTACTATTGTCAGTCTTTCAGATACAGTAAAAAAACCTCAACGTACAAGAGTTATAGAGCAAGTAATCACTCTGCAAAATGTTATACGTCAGTAATAAGGCATCCACTTTACAGCTGTTTAAACAAAAAAGGAAATATTTCCCAAAATATATATTTTGGATCTGTGTAAACAAAGCTTACATGTATTGCTTCCATTCATTTCAAAAATATACACCCACATGGACTGAAAGTGATCTTGGTGCTATGAATTTTAAATTACTCTAATTTATCCAGATGTAATCTGAAGATACAAACCCCAAACTGTTTTGAATTTAATATTTTGAAATATGTCAATAATTTTAATTATTCTTATGTGAATAAAAGCTAAAAATATACCCCAAATTTGACGCCATTTCATTGAATGAAGAAGAAAGTACTATGAAAATAAACATTCATCTGGTTTCCTAACAATAAATATAAAGACAGTTATTATAACATACTGCAACACAGGAAGTATTACTATATTGACCTTAACGTTCAATCAGTAGTTTTTAAATCTTTCCTCACTGAGGCTTGAATCTTCTACCTTGTCAGCTGTCCAACAACTTTTAAGAGGGTTTTATTTTCTTGCTTCAATTGTTCATTTTCATCTTCTATATCATCTAGGTCCTGTGAAAGGAAAAAGAAAAAATAAGCATTTCTCAGGACGTAAGTACAAACTCAATTAAAAAAGGAATTTAGCACCTTAGCTGTGAAATGAAGCAGCTGGGGTTGGGAAGTGTTAGTGTCACAGTAGCTACCCTTACATCTGTTAAACCAGCCTTTTTCCAAGTCTTACTCTAATTACAAAACATTAATATTATATTCCCATGTACAGGCACCTTTAGATGGAAACATAAT